TCATTTGGTATGAGGACATTCACATAAGAGATGATGCTTAGAGACTCAAACTCTGTATGCGACAAATTTGGTATGAGGACATTCACATAAGAGATGATGCATTAGAGACTCAAACTCTGTATGCACATAAATTTGGTATGAGGACATTCACATAAGAGATGATACATTAGAGACTCAAAATCTGTATGCACATAAATTAGGTATGAGGACATTCACATAAGAGATGATGCATTAGAGACTCAAACTCTGTATGCACATAAATTTGGTATGAGGACATTCACATAAGAGATGATACGTTAGAAACTCAAACTCTGTATGCACACAAATTTGGTATGAGGACATTCACATAAGAGATGATGCATTAGAGACTCAAACTCTGTATGCACACAAATTTGGTATGAGGACATTCACATAAGAGATGATGCATTAGAGACTCAAACTCTGTATGCACACAAATTTGGTATGAGGACATTCACATAAGAGATGATACATTAGAGACTCAAACTCTGTATGCAACAAATTTGGTATGAGGACATTCACATAAGAGATGATGCATTAGAGACTCAAACTCTGTATGCCAAATTTGGTATGAGGACATTCACATAAGAGATGATGCATTAGAGACTCAAACTCTGTATGCAGACAAATTTGGTATGAGGACATTCACATAAGAGATGATGCATTAGAGACTCAAACTCTGTATGCACACAAATTTGCTTTGTATCTTTGTGGCGATGGTTTTTACAACTTCACATTGTATATAAAATGTTATATAGCAAATTTCCACTGAAAGTCTCTAAATAATGTAGCAATTGTAAGTGAAAATGTTCTGCTATATATAGTGTCTAATAAAGTGATTACGATACCTCGTCAAGTATTATGCTAAAATAAATTTCAAAGCTGTTACAACAGTAATACAGTTTTTTAAATAATTTCAATGGTCAAAATGTTGGGATTCTTCTTGAATAAATAGATGACTCCCCAGAATGCATGAAAAGTGTTCCAGATCTAGGGTAACACCCACATTTTTCTCTTAAGTGGTGATTAACCAAATTTCATGCAACATTACATGGAATCATTTTAATGTTCTCAGGAACTACAAACGTCTGCCAAAATACTTATGGTGCTTTTAAATAAAATAAAACAAGAATATTAATAATTTCCTTTTATGCGTTGTAATACAGAGTCAATGAGATTACACTTCAGAGCTTTTCAACCACATGGCTGTATAATCTGAATTCTTCTACAGCATCGTGACTTCTCTTCTGAACAATGAAAACAGCATGCACAATAAACAATTGTTTCTGCTTCTCTTTGCTTGAATACTCACATCTGTTGCATGTGACAGTTAACTGTTTTTTATCATTAATTGCTTCCCATCTATATGTATATTTCTCTCCTCTATGAATAATTAATAAATGTCTTTGACTAGATAATTGACTATATAAACTCTCACACTGATGACAGTAAAACTGACTTACTGAATTAGGTATCACAGTAACATTTGGATTATTTGAATCTACCGAGATGTAAGTAAAATTGCTAAGTGTATTTTGATGTTCAACAAGATGTCGTCTCTTTTTTAAGTTAACGTATGAAGTGAAGATATTTGTGCATTTCTTTTGGGAAGGCTTCTCATTGGTATGTGTTCGCATATGCCGTTTGAGATTACATGATTGAGTGAAACTCTTCTCACATTGCTTACAATAAGGCTTCTCATTGGTATGTGTTCGCATATGCACTTTGAGATGACTTGACGTGGTGAAACTTTTCTTACATCGCTCACAATGATAAGGCTTCTTATTTGTATGTGTTCGCATATGCCGTTTGAGATGACCTGACCGAGTGAAACTCTTCTCACATTGTTTACAATGATAAGGCTGTTCATTGGTATGTGTTCGCATATGCACTTTGAGATGACTTGACGTGGTGAAACTTTTCTTACATCGCTCACAATGATAAGGCTTCTTATTTGTATGTGTTCGCATATGCCGTTTGAGATGACCTGACCGAGTGAAACTCTTCTCACATTGTTTACAATGATAAGGCTGTTCATTGGTATGTATGTGTTCGCATATGCACTTTGAGATGACTTGACGTGGTGAAACTTTTCTTACATCGCTCACAATGATAAGGCTTCTTATTTGTATGTGTTCGCATATGCCGTTTGAGATTACTTGACCGAGTGAAACTCTTCTCACATTGTTTACAATGATAAGGCTTCTTATTGGTATGTGTTCGCATATGCCGTTTGAGATTACTTGACCGAGTGAAACTCTTCTCACATTGTTCACAATGATAAGGCTGTTCATCGGTATGTATTCGCATATGCCGTTTGAGATAACTTGACTGTGTGAAACTTTTCTCACATTGCTTACAATGATAAGGCCTTTCATTGGTATGTATTCGCATATGCACTTTGAGATGACTTGACCGAGTGAAACTCTTCTCACATTGTTTACAATGATAAGGCTTCTCATTGGTATGTGTTCGCATATGCACTTTGAGATTACTTGACAGGGTACAACTCTTCTCACATTGGTCACACTGTTGTATTTCCATATTTATGAAATTCTGTTAAAATGATTGGAGCAAGGCACTTTTCATCACAGCCCATTTTTTTTCAAATATTCACCATTTTCACTACTTCACTGAATAACACACTTCCTAATTTTTGTATGTTCCAACTTCAGTATGTGTACTGTTGTTGAGGTTTAAGAATACTGCAACTGTAAAAAATACAAATAACAGCGTCCGGATTACTTTCGGAAATTCCGTCGCTCTTCGGAAAGTTTTAATTTTCACAACTTTTGAATATTAATTCATACTTTTAGGTTAGTGAGGAGGTTATAATAATTTTTCATTTCACTTTAACTCTGTTTTTTCACCCCTCAGACCCCTTTAAAAAGTCACTTCTGGCCATTGTAATGGCCACTATTTTTTTAATGGCCAGAATATCAACCAGAACTTTGTTAATGGTCAAAATATTGACCAGTAATTTCCAACTGGTAGTTATAATGAGCACTATTTTTACACTGGTCAGAATAATAGTTTTTTTTATTTAATGATGGAGTGGGTGACAATCTATTTTTTTAATGGGTATTATAATGATCATTTTTACATGAATAAAATGGTCATTTTTTTTTCATGTCACAGATATACCCAGTAATGGCACATTGGGATTGACAGCTCTCCTCTTTTTCCTCCCTCGCTTCAGTTTGCTTCAATTTTACGCCAGTAAAATTGTAGGTAAACGTAAAATACAAGATTTTGAAAAATTTGAAATATGGATTATTATATATCTTGAAATAATATGAAGTTTTGGGTTAATTTGTTTTTGAAATCACAAACAGATCATGCACTTGATACTGTTGACTTAATAA